CCAATTCCAATTCCGAATCACTTGAACTATTCTCTAGCTCTTCTTCTTCAATCTCTTCTTCTGATTCTTCAATTAAGCATTTGCGTGGCTGTCCTCGTAGCTTTTTCTCCTTCGGTTTTTCCTCCGCCTCACATACCATTTTCAATACTTCCTTAGTACTAAAGACAAATTGACCTTGTAATTTGACTCTTTTACCTTTAATTCACTTCTTTCAAGTTTCAATTACCTCCTGAGCATCAGAAAACTGTTTCCGAAGTAGGGCTATCTCAGCATTTTGAGATTCTACAAGCCTAGTCATTCTCTTAGCATATCGACAAGTTGGCGATACAGGAGAACCACTGTTTGCTAGAGTTATATTAAAGATCTGATTTGCTTGTTTTAGTTCTGTTCTATCTAAAGGAGAACTTCTGAGTATAGACAAGTCTAGGTTTTGATTGAAAGTTCTCATTTGTAGAATAGAAGGTTGCTGGGAGGAGTTAAATGGTAATGAATCGAGTACTTTTCGTGGAGCAAAAGGTATTAAATCAGCTCCTCTCCAGCCAGCTTTAATATTAGAAGAATTCAATGCTTTTTTTCTAATGTTTTGAAAGAGTTCTACCCATTCAGCTCTTTGGATTCGCTTTATACTAGCTCGAGAATATCGATCGACTTTTAAAGCATAATATCGTTTCATTGGCCTATACACCGCAATATCAAGTGGCTGAAGCAAGTGAGAGCAATGAGGAGGTAATATAAGTAAATCGATATTATTATCTATACAGAAAGCAATAAAGCTACTTGTAATATGGCTTGAATGGCCATCCATAATCAAAAGTCGAGGTCGGTCACCTGACACTTTCTTGGATTCTGGTTCGAAAACCCTTTTTAACCATTCTAATCTATGGCTATTTGAGGTCCATCCATTTGTACTAGTAGAGAACTGCCAGCTTTGAGGTGTGTCCTTTGGAATCCATGTAGAATTCGTATTCTGAGCCTTGAAAATGATCATAGATGATAGAGCATTTCCAGCTGCATTGACACATTCAAATGCAGTTATCCATTCTTGCTTGCCAGCTGTAACTTTCCAATTCGATTTCTGAGTAGAATCAACTATTATACGAGTACTTTGAGTACTTCCAACTCCAAATCCGGTTTCATCCATATTATACATATCATCTAATTCATACTTTCGCTTAATGAGATACGTACGAAACGCATCAAACCAAGCCTGAATATTCTCCGGAGTTGTTTCTTTAGCCCGATTAGATTCTAATTGATGTGAATAGCATGTTTTAAGTTCTGAATATCGTTTTTGGAATCTATAGATCTATTCGTAGCTTATAGGTGGAATTTCTATCGAGATAGGATTTCGAGATGACGCGACCCGAATGTATCGAAGACGAATTTCGTTGGCCATTTCCTTCACCAACATAGGTATAGCAGGGAATCCAGTGATAATAAGTCGTGAAATCCATCGTACAAGAGTATTTTCTTCTACGTTTAAAAGAATTTGAGCTATTTCGTAGGTTTGGGAATGTATTTTCTTCCCAGCCAGTCTATCAGCTAGAGTAGACTTAGGGACTTCAAAATGCTCTGCAGCCTTTCTAATTGATTTAAATTCTTTCAATTGAAGTGAAATTATAGCCTTTTGAAGCTTCTCTTCAATTTGAGCAGATGTAGAAGGTGATTGGGTATGCATAATAAAAGTTATTGCGGTTTCAAGTTGGTGATGGGCTAAAAGTGTCCGAGTTCCCCATACGTTACGTTATACAGATTATATATTTATATATATAAATTGGATTTCTAGATATAGAAAATATAGTTAATATATATTATATAAAAATTCCGTAAAATCCGACGTATAAGTTTCTTTCGCTACGCTTCGAAACAAATCTTTAATAAAATCTTTTAAAAATAACAAATTTGTTTTAAATAAGACATTTATAAAAATATATTTAATATATATATATATTATATTTCTTTCTAATAAAATTTAACCCTCAAATTCAATCTAAAAATCTTTATTTATAATATTATTAATAAATCTATTAATATTCTTATTTAATATATAGACTATATTACCGTTCGTAAATAACACTTTAGAAGATAGACTATATAATACTCTCAATTTTCCGTCTTTCTAAAGACTATAACAATTCGTTATCTATTGAGTATTACTTTTTATATTAATATATCTAACGAGGAGGTTATATATCTATCGAATATCTGTAGAATTTCGAACGTCGGTAAATAAAGTATTACTCCGCGATTTATATTCTCCGCCTACCTAGGTATATACAACAAGAATTTTTATCTTGATAAGCTCACAACCCCACGAGGTATGAAGTATTCAGTCTTCATTTAAGTCTTGAAGAAAGAAACGCCGAATTTAAGGTGAAAAGAATTTGCTTTGATATCTACTCGGTATTGGTGCACTCTGCTCGAGTGTAATAGTATTCTTTCACGAGTATTGGTAAAGCCGTAGTCGGCATACAGGGTGTCATTCTCCGCCGGCTGAAGATGGAATCGGAAATCAGTTATTACAATAGTTGGTATTTGCTGCTGGGATGGGAAGATTCAGACCCATCTGGAGCTTTCGACAGTCTAGACAATCGCTTCCTATCAGCGGAGGTATTCTCTCCATGACACTGCTCTGGGTATTGGGTGTTGTTAAAAAATCAGGTCAAGTTCAAATTTTCATATCTCTTGTATGGTGGAAGTAGTCAGGAACTATTGATTGATAGACCGTAGATCTTTGTCCCACTAGTTGAGTGAGGTCTGGAGAATAGTATTGCGGATATATGACGAGATGGTGGAATAAGATGAAATGAATGGCTAATCGCAATATAAGTGTGAGATATAATCTCATCTATGGAGCTTGAGATGTGATGTCGGCGAGTAGAGTTACCTTTAGTTCTTATCGTTTGTCTCTGATCGTATATTTCAAGCCCGGCAATGCTACTGACCACCTCTGAAGTTGTTTCGAATAAATGTTGTAGATATAATGGTCGCCAAGAGAGTGTCCGCCCTGAGAGACACAAGGCTATCGTTGGGGTTGTCATCATCGAAGCTGAAGGGAAGAGGTCAGCAATTCTCCCAGTCCTCGTCGCGAACCTCTCGAAATCTGAATTGAGAACTTAGAAAGCATCTCTGTAAATATGAGTGAGGTCTCCTGAACCCTTCATTTACCCACTGTCGCAAAAAAAACATCCAAGTGCTTGATGATCTTAAAGCTAAACGCAGAAGGGTAAGAGAGCCTTGTAGGCGCTTAAAGTAAAGGAATTGAAGATCCCATCAAGTACCGCACCAGTAGCATCATTCCAACGGCTGTCCACCATTTCCGACAGGTGGAATCTGCAAACACCATTCTAGAAGATTATTCGCAGAAGTCATGTCTCCAAGCCGCTTCCCTTTGTAATTTTTTTGAACTACCAACGAACTTAAAATCGACGAAAGTAAGGATTAGCGTATCAAGCAAGGACAAGTTTTTCTCTTCCATTGATTGATTAATTCTGGTACTTCGCGACAACGATAGTTATTCGATTTGTCCTTCCTTACGTAGATCACAACACTTTTCGTACGAGTGTAAGATACCCAAACCGGTATCATCAACTTTCCATTCCCAGCGAAGTCTTGAACTCTCAACGGGCTCCGGAATTTCCGATTCCCAGGTGGCTTATACCTCGACCTAGCTACCTAGTACCTATACAATGCACTTTATGCATGAAATCGGTGACGAGGGGGGAATCTATTTCGTGGCGGCTGCTCTATTCAAAACCTGGCAAAGAGGAAAAGGCTGAGTGAGTTTCAACTTTGAAGCCTTCACACCATCACAACCTGGAATGGCAAGAATAGGCATATTTTGCTGCCCCATTCACCACCGTTCGCACATCATGACACGATCCCTCCCAGGATCTAGGGAGAGATGGAGAAATGGCGAAATGGACCAGAAAATAAAACAAAAACATTGAAAACTTTATATTGCAAATATGTACATGGTATGAAATTGGTATGAATGAAATTACCCCTCTCCATGATTCCTTCTTAAGTTCCTCCATGTACCTCCAGCTCTCCTTTCCTTTTGGCAATGCTGGCTCCATCACATTTCATCTTACCTGCTGTAACCATTCACTCTCCGATTCGACCTTGCTCCGACCAAGATCATTTCGCTACCACGGAACCATCATCTCGTCCAGGTAACGAACGACTCACGACTCACGAGCCTTTGAGAGAACCAGGGATTGATGGAATTTTTCTGAAGAAAAGGAAAGCTTTCCGGGATTCGAATGGTCTGGGGCCCCTGCACATATCCAAGTTGTCGAATTACCTAGGTAGTATTATACTGCCAAAAAGAGGTAAAAGAGAGTAAAACAGGCTACGGTGACCAGCCTTCGCCCTTTTGACCAGCGCATTTTGCATCAAGGGCTTGGAATTCACTTCCTCGTTCGTGAATTATTCCACCTCCACCCTCTTGCACACACAATTCTCACTCTCACTCTCAATCTCCAATCTTATCCAAGTTATACCTTGGGTATCCATACTTTCTCACCTCTCTTCATTGTGTCGAACGTGTCGAATGTGTCAAGATTGAAATATATTCGCATTTACGAAACTCGATTCGGCATCCAGGGTTTACGTCAAACGATCCGCGCGAACACCAATATAAAGCAACAACCAATCTAACGGCTCGTTCCTGTTCCTGAAATCGAGCGCTTCAAATATTAATTGGAGAAGCTGAGGAAGGGTCGAAGTTGAGGGGTCCCAGATCAATTCATCAGGAAAGAACAATCCGACAAGCAGAAACCACTGGAATGGGAACTGAGAATCAATACCATCGATCAATTTTCCATTCACAAATACAAATCAATCACAGTTTAAACAAGCACGCGCATTGAGGTTTCGCAATTGCGAGAAGAATCAATTTTACTCTTTTGTTTTACAGAGCAACAAAATACAACAGTTTAAATATAATCGAAAATATCTTGCGCGCAATTGCGAATTGTTGGTTCTATTAAGAGACAATGGGTTCAACACAGTTTGGAAATTTCCATGTGAGTAGATCTTTGCATAGCTCAATGTCCATTGAGATTGATTACTGACAAACATTCCATTTAGAACTTCTGCCGTGACTCGACGTTACCAGTCTGCAACGTTCGTACCACTCCCCAGTTTTAATTATACGATTCGCAATTCAACGTTGCTAACCGGACTTTTAATAGCTATTCAATCCTCCCACCAACAGTAATTTCGGATACGGAGGCTGCGAGCTGACGGGTATATCGTTAGGCGGTGGGAAATATCTGGGAAATCTGGGTTCGTTCTGTTCCAGAGAATCAATGATCGGAAAGTCATAAACTAACACTTCCGAAGGTTCGATATTAATTGCAGGAATTGCGATTGTAATCAGTGCATTCTTAATATGGCGATCCGACCGAAAACAAGCAGCAGTGGGAAGAAGGTTTGTCAATATTCTCAGAATTATATTTGATTTGCATCATTTACTTACATCTCGTCGTACAGGGAAATGCAGCTCTTCCTCCTAGGTTATATAATCATCGAAATATGTGAAATATTTACTGTGGGCGAATTTCCATTGAGCGCAACTGTTCGGATAGTAAGTAGGACCAAGCTCTCAAGACCCATATGTGGAAGCTGATTGTGACCCCAGGCCTTCACCGGTATCCACCTCGGAATGATTAGCGCAACTTTATGGATCTTGATGCTGAACGCTGTTGTGGGCTATCAGATAATCGATGATGGGACAGCCATGTCACTGGGCCTGATGGTTGCTTCAGCAGCAGTCATATTCATCGGAACTGGATACATTGCCCTCGATACTGGATACAGCTGGACCGGACATTTCGACTCAAGTTTAACTGGTCAAGGCAATGGCCAAAATCGAAACATTGCTCTCTATGTCCTATACCAACTCGCACCATTGGTCTTTTTGTTTGTATTTTTTGCCCTGGAAACAGTCTTGGTCATCAAAGTTTTGGGCGAGCGTAAGCCCATGATCTTCTTAACGGGTGCTGCGGTTTTATTTGCTCTTGGCCAAATTTTCAATTATGTTATTAGCCCTCACATTTGCAACGGCACGAACGGAAAAATTGATGGAGCTCTTTTCGAGACGCTCTTCACCTTACTCTCTGTGGTAATGGTATGGACCTTTTGGTCGAGCATCACAGAAGACGATTGGCCAATGCCAGTCACCAACACATACTCATGAGGAATTTAAGGGAATCAGGGAGCAATGGAGTTAGGAATTTTGTTATAATGCGCATACGAAAGTCTTACGACACTATTAGTTTAATACCCGATGTGGTACATCTTGCTACACAAAAAGCATGAATATTGGCTCAAGGATAGCGCGTCTTACAGCTACAGCTCTTGTCTATGGGGTAATGAGGACGGAGAATTTCACGCTACACGAAAATGAGGGCGGAAGTAATAACGACAAGGGCGCAGCTAGGAATGATTATATGAATTGGCGGAATGGCTTGTATAACGATTTTTGCGAGTATTATACCCAACATTGAACTTATAATAGGAGAAGATAGAACTTATAATTCAGAGCATCAAAGTAGACCACTTTATTACCACATACTATATGCAATTTAAGGCTCTTTTGCCCCACTCATCTCAAATTTGAATGCATGCATGGCAGCTTATTAGAAGGGTAGATCTTCAATCCCGCAGACTCGCATACTCAATCTAGGTAGGCACTCATGCCTTAGCTAGACGTCCTGAGAGCTTGAATGTGACGCACTCTCGAGGCACTCTGTCATCCAGGCATTGATGACCTTGATCCTGGACTCTAATATCCACAATGCACTGCGAACTATTTGTTAATCTGACGATCAGAATGACACATGCAATCTTGTTTTAAGACTGGATAATGCATTATTGAGTGTCAGTACGGCGGTGAACACAGTTGACCAATCACTACTGTTAGGTAGGTAGTTGCTTATTTTTAAAGTTTTTCCCCAGATAACTCTTCCTACACACAAGGCTGCATAAAAGCATTGTTGCTGTTGCTCTCCTCGGCAATTGGCTGCTCCACTTAATTGTTTAGAAAGCTCTAGCCTTGACATTTCTGAAAGACATCAATCAGCCTTGTCCGTTTCCAAATAATCAACGAAAGAATTTATTCGCCATCCAATTCAGTTCTTCCATTTTTTACAACCGCAAGAATGGCAGACTCTGACGGTGAATATGTCGAGGATCTCTCAGATGATGATATTGGAGCACCCGCCAATGTAAATGCTGGGCATGGCACTCGATCTACTGGAGCTGCCACAGGCGCTGGAGGGTCAACTGCCAAAGAAAAAGCCGCAAATGGAGGTGGTAATAGGCGGAAAGCTGCATGGGAAGATATTCAAAGAAGTTGGGATACTGTAGTCGAAGGAGCAGATGGTAGTATCAATTCTACTGTTGAGGGGTTGAGGGAAGCTAACAAAAGGAAGAGGTAAGAGGAGCTCTCCTTTTGAAATGTTTCGCAAGTTGGCAACGTGCTGATAATTGACCATTCCAGATTATTGAGAGATACGACGCCCTTACAGAGAGGTATTATTCGCCACTTCATTCTCATCCTTGACCTCTCCTTTGCCATGACAGAGAAAGACATGCGCCCCACGCGTTATCTTCTCACCATCCGTTACGCAAGTGAATTCGTTACCGAATACTTCGAACAGAACCCCATCTCACAACTTGGGATTATTGGCATGCGCGATGGCATTGCAGTGCGGATTTCAGATATGAGTGGAAATCCTACTGAACACATCGAACGATTGAAAGCTCTCCGCGTAGACCAAGGTCAAGGAAATCCCAGTTTACAAAATGCCTTAGAGATGAGTAGAGCTGCACTATTTCACGCTCCAAGTCATGGTACAAGGGAGATACTTATTATATACGGTGCGCTACTTTCAAGTGATCCAGGCGATATTCATGAAACGATTTCGTCGCTCATAACGGATCGCATACGAGTTAGTATTGTAGGACTTGCAGCCCAAGTTGCCATTTGCGCCGAAATATGCTCGCGCACTAATGCTGGGGATGATGCAGCATATTCTGTTGCACTGAATGAAGAACACTTCAGACAATTAATGATGGCAACTACAACGCCCCCAGTCACGCGTACAAAAAAACAGTCACAGAGTAGTTTACTCATGATGGGTTTCCCATCTCGAACACTCGATCCAGGAAAAAGCATGAGCTTTTGCGCATGTCATGGGAAGTTAAGTAGAGGAGGCTATTTATGCTCTCGTTGTGAAAGTAAAGTGTGCTCACTGCCAGCGGAATGCCCAGCGTGCGGCCTTACGCTTATTCTCTCCACCCACTTGGCCCGCTCATATCATCATTTATTCCCCTTGCGCAATTGGGTTGAAGTTCTTTGGAAAGACGCCGGAAAATCTAAAGGGTGTTATGGGTGCCAAGCAACTTTTCCCCAAAGGGACGCACATGAGAAAGGTGCTTCCGAGCAAGCAATGAAGGGCATGAGTGAGAGTGGGAGGTATGCGTGTGAGGTTTGTGGTAATCACTTTTGTATCGACTGTGATGTCTTTGCACATGAGGTAGTGCATAATTGCCCAGGCTGTCAGAGTGACACAAGGGGCTTGATTAGCGGCGTTGATGGGAGAGGTGGGGGAGCTCCAGCGAGGAGTGTGGAGAAGGATGTAGATGCTATGGTTGAATGATCAGCAATTTGTCTGACAGTTTTAATGCACGCGCAAATGGGGAAAATAAAACTTGGCGTCAGGGCAAAAGCACAGGTGATTAGGATAAAATTCACGGCTTAATGATTCGCCCAACAAAAACGAAAGGGGATTGATGATCAAATTAAATAATACTAGCGAAAACTAGAGGCGAGGCGAGGCGAACCGAGGCGTTTAGGGGATTGAAAAATATCTAGTCAACACAGTAGACTGCTAGTTGGCTTAGTGGATATTTCCATAAGGACATATATATGCACAAGTTGAAGACACGCAGAATATGCTGTAAATAGTAATGTAAAGAAAGTTGGAATGGCGAGGCTAGCAAAAGTGCGAAGGACAAGTCCCCTACTAGTAATCGCTTTTCTTTCACATCAAGGCATCGAAACTAAAAAATTGTTTGATTATCAAATTCGAACATAGCATCGAAACTTTTTGTGCATGCATATTCACGATTTCTCCCGTTCACTTCTCATAATAAGTAGCCGATCGTGGTATTTTGTAGCAGCATGTGATATAGAGTCATCAAATCATTCTTCCAAACTCGCTCAAGCAAATTGCAAACATTGTGCTAATATCGTTAAAGCCATGATTTCACGCCAGTCGTCGCATCCTCGCCTCTCATCTCATCTTAGACTAAAAATCGTCACCGCCACCAAAATCATCTCCTCCACCACCGTTATCTGCACCATCCTCGTATCCTTCATTGTATTCATTTTGATCATGGTCTTGGATTCTAAATGAAGTCGGTTAGTATTTTGTTTCAGAATGTCATTACAAACGGGAAGAATGTAGGCATTCAAAACTTACGCATCCTCGAGCAACATTCCACCAATCAATCCTCCACCCAATCCTAATGCCGCACCTCCGGCCATTCCCATTCCCCCGCCACTCTTTTGTGGCCTCTGCTGCTGATAGCCTCCTCCATAACCCCCTCCGTACCCTTGCTGTGGGGGGTAACCCTGAGGTGGATAACCCTGAGGTGGATAACCCTGAGGTGGATAACCTTGTTGTGGATAGCCTTGTTGTGGATATTGTTGCTGCTGATATCCACCATACTGTGGTTGTTGCGCATACTGCTGTTGATACTGTTGCTGCGGCGCACCTGAACTCGAGCTCGAACCACTGGTCTTTCCCAGAAGCTTTCCAAAGAATCCCTTTTTCTGTTCGCGTGGAGGTAGTTCTTGTTGCGAATAAGAAGGCATAGGTGTGTTTTGATAGTCTTGCTGGGCGTTTCCGCGCATCCCGCTGCTTGAACCTCCACGAGCATCTTCTTCGGCTTGCAAACGACGGGCAAGTTCGGCGTCGCTTTCGGCGTTGGGAGAGGGGTCGTATGGATTGCTTTTGTTGTCGGAAGGGTAGGTAGAAGAGCCACCGGAGTATCCTGGGGGTGGGCCGGGAGGAGCGCTATCGCCGGAAGGATAGACAGGTTCGGTGGGTTTGTCCCAGGTTGACTTCTTGGTGTAAATGTTTACATAGAACCTAGTTTCTTATTAACTTCCATAGTGTGCCTGAAATGAATGAGATTAATACACACCATTCTTTGTATTCGGCGTTCCATACTGCTTTGTATCCTTCAGGAACTTTCGGAGGTGGAGGACCGGTAGGAGGGGCAAAATCATTCATCTTAAAGTTGGTGCTTCTTTGTGAGTCTGTTGATGTAAGATCGATAGGTGATTTGGAAAAACAAGATGGTTAAATTCCGTGAAAAATATCTGAATAGAATATAGGTGTCAAGACTGTCTTGTATAAAAAGAAGGTCAGTGAATGGTGAAACGATGATGAAATCAAGGTACCCGCTCAGCCACAGCAAGATAGCTGATGAGGGGTTTAGTGTACGTGGACCTATGCACAGTCCTATGGAGTGCCCAAGTCAGGGGGGAGAACTTGGCTACAAACTTCAGTCTCAGCTAATTGTTGTACACCAGTACTAACTTATAAAATCCGTAGAGCACTTGAGATGCCTAGATAATTACTTCAAAAGCTTTCTTGTGTTGAGTACCTAGACACAATTATATATTAAAAATTATAATTACAATTTTATCTACATGAAAGAAAGATAATCAATCCAATTCAATAAAATATCATTGACTTTGCAGCGCAGCCACACTTGTTATCTTGGTATCCGCTACAGTGTCTTCTGACCCAATCCCAGACGTCATCCCCAAGCGAGAAACCATCTCAGCCTAGGAGTAGTCGTACCCGCCACTCCCAATACTTAATCACCGCCAACCTTGTACTCAGCTTCACCACAACAACATCAAATAACATAGAACAAAATCAATCATGAAGTTTTCCGTCAGTCTTGTTGCTCTGCTCTTCAGCAGCACTTTTGTCGCTGCAAGCCCTTTTTTCAGTAACGGTCAAACCGTCCTTGACGATAAGGCAGCTGTTCCTGGAAACAACCCACTCACCTACTGCAATCCCGATCATTCTTCTGATATCCTATCGCTCGACCATGTCAATTTGAATCCCAATCCTCCAACTGCGTACGCAAAGCCGTAGAATCTTGAGACGTGATAACAGATGCTAATTAGACAACAGTGGGAATAAACTTACCATCGAGGCGGTCGGTACCTTGTCGCAGACGTTGGAGAAGGGTGCATACGTTCGCTTGCAGGTCAAATATGGCTTGATTCGACTTATCAGTATGACAGAGGATCTGTGCGATCAAGTATCTAATGTCGATTTGACTTGCCCGATTGATGCTGGAAAGATTATAATCACAAAGGATGTTGATTTGCCAAACCAGATCCCTCCCGTAAGTCTTCAAGTTGCACTCTATTGTTCTTCTTCTAACTCATCACATCAGGGAACTTACACCGTCTTCGCCGATGCATTTACTGCGGACGATGAACCTATTATTTGTTTACAAGCAACGGTTACGTTTTCACGTTAGACTGCCCCGATACTAGATAATAGCTACACAATACCCTCAAATTGTACTTAGGATTTCGTGAAGAGCAGAGATTTGCATGCGGACTGTATTAGGTCGATGAATAATGGTGGATGAAGGAGTTTACTTTCTGGGATCCCTCACCCTGTATCTTGACAGATACTTCTGATCACGGGGTCTTTCTTTTGCTTCTGGGCGCGCTGTTCTCATGAGAACTGAATATACGAGAATTAACGAATTGGATTAATACGGAAGCCTCCATTCTGATATCCCGCTCCACCAATTTATTACATGCCAGTCATATGACATGGCAAATACTTCAATTTTGATGGCTTGTTGAACCTGTGTAGTTTTTCGATGCTGCGGTTAGTTGATTATAAGCCCAAGTTGTGTAAACCTTTAGAAAACGCAAGGAAATGTATGTGCAAAATTTCATAAACTGGCATACTCTTGTATTCATTTGTTTGATATCAATAACCCCATGAAGGTGTTAATCTCGAAAACGCCCAACTCTCTAGCCATTTAAACACACAACCCTACCCATAGCACACAATCTCCCCCTAAAACCACAACAACTAACCATCACTCTCCAAAGAGTCTTCGAACTCTTCTTAGAACACTATCCTTCTCCGGATCGTATGGGTGATCTTTACTAGGTATCTCCAACAATGCAGGGAATGCGGCTGTGTATGTATCTACTCGATGGCGTATACGTTCCGCAATCTGTAAAACCTTTGTTAGTCTTGCATGCTCCAAAGCTAATTGTAACAACTATCTTACATGTTGGTTGATCAACAAAATACCAATATCCTTCCTCTCGGTTGTGAATCTTTCAAAGGCTTCCTCGATGGCGGCATTATCTGTCTTGTTATCGACAACGAGGAAGTTCTTCTGCGAGTCTGGCGGTGAAGTGACATGCTATGCCTTCATCAGTAATCTTTTCTCGGGCGATAACTCCGCAGAGTAGAACAAGATATCTCATACACCAATGCCTGCCAACAACAGTCCAGTTACAGAGTCCTACAAGGCTGGTTAGCAACATTCACAACAGCTTGGATCGATTTGAAGCTCACTTCATCACCAATGACGGCAAGAAATTGCCTATCTTTGTAGGCAGATGCTGGAGCTGCCATGTTGTCTATGTTTGTTTGATATACTTCTCCAAACAATCAATCCAGTGGCAGCGTTAAGCAAGGTGAGCTCTCAGGCCCCACTAAAGTTATGCGCTAGCGTACGGCATCCCTGGCTGCAGCTACAATGACCCACGTCCAAAATATAAATCATCTCCCCAGAACGCCTCTGCGGTAAACAACAGGAACGGAAATCGCAAGGAAGCAAATTCGATTGCAATAACTCATCGGATTTACGATTTTCGCTTCATGTATTGCCGTTCAACGATGTGAAGATATCATCGACATCTTTTTCATTATGCCGCGACTTGTGCGCCGAAGACCGCTTCGTGAACGGATTACGGATTGGTTTAATATTCAGGATTGGTTATTATGGATATCGGAGGAAATCGAAACAAGAGATTGGGATTCGAAAGCGTATGCTAATCCACTGGGTTTTGGATTACATTTTATACTATTAATTGCGAGGGCGAATAGTGGAGATGAAGGTCATGGAACTGGAGATGATGTATTTGGGGATGTGCCTTCAGGATCGGGATGGTTGAGCTATTTGGTAAGAGTTACCACTGTGAATAGTGACTTGTGTAGCTTGATACTGACTGATTTAATAGTCTACTCTAGTTGTCTATTTACTGACGGCATTGTCGATCTTGAATGCATTCTCAACCTTCTCACGAAAGCGCAATTACCGCCTCTTCGAGAGCTCTATCGAAACTGCTCCCACTACCCCTTCTGCCCACAGAGTACGCGTAGACTCCTCGCCAGTATCTTCATCTCCTCTTCGGTTCTTCTCGAATATGCTAGGGGACACAAGTGCGCAGTCAAGAGCGCATCCAGACCCGACTCGGGACGTTTGGGAGATCGCTGTTTGGGATCCTATACCAGTTTGCCTACGATTATTTTGCCTATTTAGCCCTGGACATGTACTGGTTTATTGGCTATTCCTTCCAACATTATCTTCAGATGCTCGACCAAGTGTCACGATTTTTACTACTCTGGTTTTGGAAGCCTTGATGACTGGGCAATTACTTCTTTTAGAAACAAATTTTTCGCAGCAAGAAAAGGACAACAGCATTATACAGAAAGAAGTCATGAGCGAATATGATGCCAAGTTTGTACATCCCCGTTTGAATCCGGTCATGCGAGATGTTGGCACACAGTTTTCTGGGCCGGGTGCTGAAGCCGGACGAGAGGAGGAAATTGAAATCTACACGCCGAGTGTGGTTCTCAAAAAAGGCTTCCGTACCAATCCAAATCCTAACTACGCTAAGTATGTTGACCCGGACAGTGTTAGTCCTACCAAGCCAGTCTCCCGTCAAATTTTCTCTCCTGCTCCATCCTTTATTTCAGCTTCCTTTCAGCAACCGCGAGATTCGCCCTACAACAGAAAGATATCAAACATATCCATGAGACAACCCCAATTCCGTCAAACAACTCCTACTACTGCCACATCGACTGGGTCGGGGGATGGTGGTAGCTTGGGTATCTATAATCATGCCAACTCGCCTTTGAAGAAGACCAGCAGCATGTTCGACATGCAGGGACGAGATCGTAGAGACACACCCAAAAGCTCTTTAGATATGGCAGGGAGGGAAAGAAGAGATCAAAGAGAGAACGAAGCAAGCCCGATGAAGAGAGTGCAGGGAGGCAGCGACGTTCGACCATTCGGCAGAATGCCATCTTCAAGCACTGAGAATGATAGAAGGGTTAGTGGCTCAAGTGCCTTCGATCCAAGAGTAAGATCTGGGAACGTTGAGCATAGTCCGTATAAAAGGGGCCCTTCCAGGTGGTAATTTTTTTCATAGCGGATTTTCCATTCTTTTTAAGTCAACTGTACAATGCATTTTTAGGAGTCTAGCAGGTTCGGTAATATGGTGGCACGATCTATAGTAATGACAAATACCATTTCCAAAAATTATCTCTTAGTAGGTAAGTGTGTATAATTTTAACAGATACTGGAATTGTGGTGACGCTCGTATGTCGATTATTTTCACCGTCTCGCTTATTTCTGGTGGGGTTAAGGAGAATGTGATGCAAGATCACTTACTTGTATCTCAACCTAAGTTGAAAAAAAATTCGTTTCATGTGAGCGCTTGATCTAGCTTGCTTTCATGAAACTCTACATTCACTTTCCCATTGTTTTCAATTGCTTTCCTTTTCGTCTACACGTTGTTTTTCTCAGTCTGAAGTAATTACTGAGCATAATTTGGGGTTGAATGCTTTTACACTGACTCAATCAAACATTCCGCCGCATTGAAACTAAGGTTTTGGGTTTTGAAAGAATAGTTTCCATGACGGTATTGAAAGGCTGAAGCAGATCCCGTTAGTATGCGGTGTCTAAAAAAGATATTCGTCCCATTAGTACATGATATTTAAGAATTCAGTCAATCGATAGATGAAATTAACATTTCTGCTTAATCAAGCTAGCTGTTCCGATGTCGAAGACCGACGCTATAAAAAAACTAAGCTTGAAGAAGAAGATCTTGCAATGAGATAAATGCAGCGTTAATACAATGAGTATATACAGTCATAGATAAGTCCACGATTCGTATATGGTGGCCCTTTTTCATAGCCGAGTATTGTTAGTCTTGAAAGGACTGTCAGGATCTATAGCATCAAATATAAGGTTTGGTGTTGACGTGCGCTAGATCCTTATCAATGAAAGTTAGTTTATTCGGCACCAAAGAACGAACTTAGTAAGGCTGAACCGCAGATTGCTAGTATTGACCTTTAGATAGAAAGACGGACCCGTTCATAATATAGGGCTTGGCCTAGTGCTGTCAATCTGATTCTTCTTTTGTCGGGATTTTATTTTCCACTGTCGTAGTTTGATAGTAACTGTTTTTGGAAGACGAAACTTTATGTATAAAGTTACGATCTATAACTCTATACCGGCATGCTGATTGTTGTGAGCTTGCAAGTATCGCCAAAACAAAGCATCACATAACTTTAGTTATGGTGTATTAATGCTTCAGGCCGCTCTATGATAATGGTAATGGGCGTCAAATTAAAGCGACATGCTGCAATTCACATAGAACACCAGCTAACGAGTCAGGCTGTGTCTTTACTGTGACTATACATTGGATGTGTGTTGTATCAGGAACATTGTCAACCTGTGATCGCCCGCATTCTTTGGTATAGCCCAATGTTGTTAGTAAACATAATACCATACTCCAGATAATACTAGCTATTTGTAAGTTTTATAGTACATCCTAATGCAACTACTAAGGTAGGGCGATCTTATTCGTATATGGACAAATTTATGATTGATTTAGTGGGGAAGCTAACGTTATTTGCTAAATTAAGCAGGAGCTATCCGGATCTTCCATCAACTAGCACCCGATGACACATATACAAGCCTCTTTGAGTCCATAACAGTGCTATTATAGCACTGTTAGAACATGCATAGAAGCTCACCAAAAACAATTAAGGCTATGAGAAACAAAGTTAGAATAATCGAGCTCTAGACTTCTCCGTTAGTGGTCTGGGGATCTGCCTACATGCCCGTACAATTGACCACTAGCGGAGAAGTATTCTCCATGACTTCATTGAAGACCAGATGATTGCTAGTAGAATGCATCGTTGGCTCCATTTCATATATACTCCCACCTTTACTCTATCTATTGCTTTCTTTCTCTTCTCTCTCTTCGTTCTTCAGACAAAGTTAATACTGTACAATTCTCGTTATCAAACACAATTTTGAATCTCAAAATTCACACTTCAACGCTTTAAGATCAGTATCACAACTTTATCCCTTTACAATCAGTATTCCACTCGATTACTCAACTATATTTGAACATTCAAGTTTCTCATTCAAACGCCAGTCAACAGCTTAACCATTATACCACCTTGATACCTTCATCATGGGCATCAACCTCATCTATTACTACGGCTACTTCGTCGCCGAGGACGTCTATAGCACTGCAAAGGACGGTGCTAAAGACATCATACCTCGCAGACTTCGTCGCTCGAAGCTTTTCAGAAGATCCAAGGGATCTAAATCAGCCTCACCAGAAGAGCCTGAACATTATAACCCCACTACATCAGAGGAAGAATGCTCAAAGTCATTCACCTCTGAAGACACCTCAGAGACCGTCATCCATTACTCGTCGGAGGACAAGCAAAGCGAGCTTGACCAATATATTTTCTCTAATGACTCTAAAGAATCCACAGACACGATCATTCATGATGAGACGGTCAAAATCTCGCGCCGCCAGAGGTGCAAGGCTAAGCTTCGAAAATGTCTGTCTTCAAAGACATTGAAAGCAAAATTCTCCGCCTATAACCTTTCTTCGGATGAATGCGTTGAATTAGAGGATGAAATTGTTTCAGACAATCACATCATCGCAGGTGATCACATTGTTTCAGATAATCATGATGATGTGAACAATGATGTTCATTTGGACAACATTGTCAATGCAGACAGTATCGCTGTTACGGAAGATTCAGGAGCTTCAGGTAACGTTTACCAAAAGAAGCAATGGTCTGTTTCGGATTATTCTCTTTCTATCTACTCACAGGATGGTATTGATACTGTCGTTGTATCTCCAAAGGAGAGGGAGATCAACAACTTAAAAGCAAAATTATTCAACCAAGAGTTGGAAAACAAAAAACTTCGCTCAAAGATCTCGCAGCTCAGCAGCGAGCCCACCTCAAAGTCAGCCTCTGAAGCAGAGTCTGTAATTCACACTGCATTCGAGACAGTCAAAGTCTCCGAGCTTAGCAGTGACACTCCTACCTCAAATTCAGGCTCAATATCAGAGTCTGTTATTCATACTCCATTGGAGACAACCAAAGTCTCCCACCGTCAAAGATACCGAGCCAAGATTCGTGAATGTCTTTCCTCTACTCAGGAAATCCTGGCACCTTTGAAGGCCTTACACCCTAACAATCGGGCTGAGAGGGGCCACACCAAGCAACAAGCCAAAGAGGCTCTTGAAGCTTTGCAAAACGCTCCAACGTTCTTCGAATCAGTCCCATTTGAGTCCACTGAGGAGGGTGAAGCTCCAACTTTCTACTGCCCTCGTCATGGCACCTGTTCTTCTCATTTTGCTTGGTGTTTCTGCGATTATCATCCCAGCGCTGCCCATCGTCAAAGTGAAATAGTCGATGACTGGTTGCTGCCAGCTTGGCGTGCCCTTGTTACAAAAGGCATAGAGGAGGATAGGGCTGAGAAAGCTAGGATAGAAGAACAGGCTAGGATGGAAGAGCAAGCCAGCAAGGAAGAACAAGCTATGATGGAAGAAAAAACCAGGATCGAAGAACAGGCTAGGATGGAAGAAAAGGCCAGCATCGAAGCACAGTCTGAACCTCAAAGATTTTCTGCTGAAGAGTATATCGATCTGATCAGCGATCTCACTGACGATTACCTTGGTTATTCACGCTCCAAATCACGTAGTCACAAGCGCAGCAAGAGCAAGAAGAGAGTTGAGAGAGTCGTAGAAGAAAAGATGGAGGAACAAGCTCTACCCATTCAAGAGTATTCTGAACTTCAAAGAAATTATGCTGAAGACTATGTTGGTCCAGCTAGCGACCGGGCCGACGATTATCTTGGTGTTACGGGCTACAACCCACGCACCGGAACGCTCGACAATAGCAAGAAAAGTAAGAAGAACAAGGAACACCGCCGTGTTCGTTGGGCCAGCACTGAGAAGGGATGGGAGAGCAAAGCTGCAAGCTCTTCCAGCCCTTCGGCTGAATGCACCAAGGAGAATGAGAAGATGGAGGTGCCTTTTTTAGTTTAGACGCCGGTACGCGTGGTGACGTACACTACCACGTGCACCATCACTACTGGCGAAGGAATGAGAGGAAAGAAAAAAAGGAAAGAACTGTAAAAGAAAGGAGGAAAAGACATAGGAGACATAGGAGCTCTTTTTATTGAGGAACACGGATATTTTGGTTCACTTGGGTCTGTTTTCTGAACTTTCTGTTTTCTGGGTTAGTCTGTTGTTTGATTCTTTTGTATTCTGTATTCTGTATTGTGTATTTGGTTTTGCTTTTGTGCTTTTCTGTTGTCTTTCTGGCGTTGGGAGTTGGGAGTTTTGGCGTTTTTGGAGTTCTTGGAGTTTTCGTACGTATACAGTAGGATAAGAATAGGAATGGAACAGAACAGAACAGAACAGAACAGGATCAGATCAGATCACTATAGGAACAGGAATTATCAGGATAGAATAGAATAGAATAGAAACTCCCCTTCAATAAAAAATTATTATAACTTTGGTATCCCAATTGCAACAGTTCCCAGTGTACAGAAGATGGTAGATGCAATGGTACTAGTCACATACTCAAGAACTGTAAAATATTGTCGGAGAACCTGGTTTCATGTCTTTATGATACAGCTTGAACCTGATGATTATAAAAACAGCAGCCAAATTGGTCCTCTAACCCTTTAGGGCACCAGTCTAACAGTTCGAGAGCCAACGGAAATATGTGTCTCTGTCCTATTTCACTGTGGTTCTTCTTGGTAGTAAAGATAAACAGAAATGACTCTTTTTCCATACCTTGGTGGTCAGTCATGCCATCTCACCAGGTATCTTCCTGCCCTGAATATGGATTACTGCTTTTTAGATGAGCAAGACATACAACCCTATTTCCATCGCTCGTCTGAGCCGTTTCATTACGCGAGGACCGCACAGGTTACCAATCTGCTCCCCGAGAGAATAGTAATCGTTCTTCCAGATAATACCATGCAATTTAGCCTTCAAGTTGCTGTTCCAGCCCTTTCTCATTCCATTGAGTTATTAACCAAGGTTGAGTATGTCCAACTAGGGTTGTCAGATAGTAGTCTCTAATGTTCATAGTATACACCTAGGTGGTTAAATTCATGTTCTGGATGATCCGATGTAAGATAGATTTGATATTCGATTCTAGTTTCAAGATCCGTAGTGAACTAAATACCCGAGATGGGTTCGTTGTACAAGATGCCTTTGGAGGACATGGTGACAGATGATCTATTTCTCACAAGTTGAAAACAGAAAAACAGATCGATATCTGGTTTGTAATTTTCATCAATGTAGTTTGCGGCTCTGTGTTTCATGTCGCTTTCATCGCTATTCCACCAACCCAAGTGGAATCCGGATAAAGCAAAACCCAATCTGTAGATGGAAAATTATTTGCCAACTCACTTTGAATCTTACAGAATGACGAAGACCTCTCCCATGTATGTCTTGTTGATGAATGAAATGGGTTTCTTTGATGATTGAAGGGCGAACTGGCGAAGCGCGATTGTCTACGTAGGGCTTAGCAATCGTCACAAGAACACCTCTTAAGTACTGCGCACATTTTTAACGGAGCAATGGTTTATAAATAACAGATATACATAATACGTATTAATCCTAAATTACAAGTCGCAAAAACCAAAAATGTATACAACGAGCCTGTTTCCCTCTTCGATACATAGCAACGTGAACCAAGCTTAACAATTTCGTAGATCCTATACCATATTCTCGTATATCTAAATTTCTGTAACCATTCCATATCCAATGCTGACGCCTAGCACCTAGCATCGTGACTGTAGAAAGATGTATATGATGTACATGGAATCTCAGAATTCCAATGACGTCCTAATTTCGAAAGTAGATCTACAACCAATTATAGAAACTAGTTTGTATTTCCGACTCTTTCATTAAGATTTCGGGTCTCTAAAGCTCCAGGCGAGAAACTTCATCATGAGTCTCTGCCCCTCGACTTTTGTCTCATGTCTAAGCACTATTACGTTTAGTACATTTACAAGACCTGTAACCCACTTATGTTCCTCAGCCTTGCTCCCCATACGCCACCTCCTCTCCCTTCTTCAGCAATCTTGCCACTGACATCTCTCCTGTAGCTTCCACGTTGACCCGTGTAATCAGTTCCACTGCTAACCTGTCGCCCATCCCCGCCAACCATAACAGGCGGTGTTGCAGGCTTCAAATCTCCATAGTACTTCGACTTGAAGCTATCGCCCGAGTCCGAATCACGTGTACGAAGGGGCTTAGGTGTTAGCTCGCGAATCTCAGGAGAACGCAGAGGTAGAGGCCAAGATGGCTCGTCTGTTATATCAACACTTGGGCTGCCGACATGTTCATCGGCATCTGGATTGATTGCGGACGGGGCTTGGGAGGAATATTTGGATGACGAGGAGGGGAAATTGTGACGTGGGGTTGGAGGGTTTTCCGTTAGCGGATTGGGTAGATGGAAATTGTCATCATAATCATCGGATGCGGCGGGATCAAGCGGCAAGGGATGGTAAGAAGACTTGATGGAAGTGGATGATTTTTTGGGCGAGTGGGGCCGAGAACTTGGTGCGCTACTGCGATCGCCCTTCTTACTGAGAGAATCACTAGTGAACCAACTTATAACGCCACTATCAGCGTTGGCATTGCTAGTAGATTCTTCAGCTGTGTGGAAGGATAGATCAGAGGCAGGAATTGAGGTGTACGACTGGTGAGATGCGCGTTTTGGGGAAGATGAGATTGACGGTGCTGCCTTGAAGTCTGGAACTGAGTGACGGGGTGATTGATTGGGCTTGTAGGCATTATAGCGAGCCGGAGAATCTGTGCGAGATGTACGAGGTGAGGATTGATTAGTCTGGAATGATTCGTTGGAATTTGTCCGCGTGTGGAAGAAAGGTATTGTTGGAGGGCGATCCAGATCCTCATAAGCGGCTCCAGAACGCCTTTTATCCTCAAGGTTGGAACCCCTTGACAGTCTTTTCTCAGATGGAGCTGTGATGGTGGTGAAAGTTGAGATGGATGATTTGTTACGTTTGTGGCGAGAAGTGAGATTATCTTCCAGAGGATTCATATCCGGAGGAAGTTGATTGATTTTGCGGAATGTGACAGCGAGATATAGACATATAGCAAGAGTAATCAAATGAAGCCCGCCTCCAACTGTGGCTGCGTAGAAAAGAATGTCGGTGAAAATTGTTAGAAGAGTCTTATCAGAAAGAGATGTAGTCCAAGTAGTTTGTTTCGTTTTAGCTGCGAGAGAGATGTACGCATAAAATGGTACAATACTTATGTCAGTCAAAGATGCAAACACCATATATGATGCTGAAGATCCGGGCGCTCTGCCGCCAGATCTTCGCGCTAAATGATATACCCCATAAATGGTATGAATAATTGCTACTGCGGGCTGAGACATATCAATCAGTCGGTAGTTGACATGACGCATTCTGGGGATAACATACCGCAAGCTTCATGATCCACCCTGAAACCATATCCAAGCCCGTGATCAAAATTGACATGATTAGAAGGCCGACTGCTGCCAAGACTTGAAAACATCGCAATACCAATGCGACTTTTCTAGTCCATTTGACTCTCTTCTTGACAGAAGGGTCCATTGGTTCAGAATCCCCATGTCCAGAAGGAACAATGAGATAAGAACTGATGAAAGCATATCAGTATAAATTACAATAATCTCCAACGGCATACTCAAACGTACTCAGGATGTGCATTGAAGTTGACCAAAGGACCATCTGGTCGCTTTGGCCGTGGTGTCTGGGGTGATAAGCTCGCTCTGGAGACAGCTTTTGGATCAAAGGACCAATCTGTTTTGATTGGGTCATAAATGAAGGGAGGTTGGATACCCATTATACCTGACAACTATTAATGAAAGACAGAGTGAATATTGCAGGAATGAAGTCAGGAACGTGGATTTTGCAAAGAATGAATCAAGGGTATAACCTGCGACATTAATCCTGGAGATTGGAGCTTGGATCAACAACTTAGATGCAAGCTTCGTTAACACAGCAACAAACGATCACTTTACGAAGCGCAGCGTTATCGGACAATGCGATAAAGATTTCCGAACGCTTTCAAATGACGTTGGAGAGCGAAAGAAAATGAACAGGATCGCGAGTCCTTGGATTTGCACAAGATGTGCGAACTCTTCACAGCAACGCATACGTCTGATCACTCGATCAAGGGCGTTTACAAATACTACCAGAAAACTTACTGAGAAGCCCAGAGCTCACGATGGTAGACCATTTAGGATGGCTGTCATTGGGTCAGGACCTGCTGGATTTTACACGTCTTATAAGGTTATGTCCAAAATTGAGAATTCAATCGTGGATATGTATGAGCATCTACCGGTACCCTTTGGTTTGGTACGATTTGGAGTTGCTCCCGACCATCCTGAGGTGAAGGTAAATCTCAATTAGCCAGATCCAGACCGAACGACAAGAGAAAGTTGTGCTAATGCTAAACAGAATTGTCAAGATAAATTCAGCGAAGTAGCTGAATCGCCGAACTTTAATTTCATTGGGAACATATCTATAGGAGATCACGCTGGAGCTTTACCTCTCGCCTCGCTATTGCCACATTACGATGCCATATTATATGCGTATGGCGCATCTCGAGATCGTACGCTTAATATCCCGGGAGAAGACAATTTGAAGGGTATTTATTCTGCGCGGGCATTTGTTGGATGGTACAATGGACTGCCGGAATATGCGGATCTTGACCCAGATCTTACACAGGGCGATGAAGCAATAGTCATCGGACAAGGCAATGTAGCTTTAGATGTCGCAAGGATCCTCTTGCAGGACCCCGATGTACTGCGAACTACCGACATCACGGAGAGAGCTATTGAGACTTTGCAAAAAAGTCAAGTCAGAAGAGTGAGAGTAGTGGGGAGAAGGGGTCCTCTGCAGGTTTGTTTTATGGGGCAGAGTGGAGCGTGTTTATGCTAACGATTACAGGCTGCATTCACGATCAAAGAAATTCGTGAGCTGGCGAAATTAGATTCGGTGGCTTTTCATTCCATTGATAGATCGTTAATCCCAGAGGACATATCGAAATTACCTCGAGCTTCGAAGAGAATTATGGAAATTATCAAAAAGGGATCAAGTGCTTCCTTGGAGTCGGCAGCTAAATCATGGTCACTTGACTTTTGCCTCTCACCAAAATCGTTTAATCAGAGTCATCATTCCCCCTCTCAGTTAGGTGGCATGTCATTTGAGAAAACTTTACTGAGTCCAAACCCCTTTGATCCTATAGCTAAGGCAAATGGTACTGGAGAAATGGTTGATCTTCCAGCCTCTCTAGCCTTTCGATCTATTGGTTACAAGTCAGAAGCGTTGCCAGGATTCTCGGATCTGGATATACCATTTAATGATAGCCTAGGCATCATACCAAATGATCCGTTGGGTCGTGTTGTCAATGATAACGAAGGATGGTCAACTTCGGATTCGTCTAAGCATATTCCAGGAATGTATTGTGCTGGGTGGGTAAAACGAGGACCGACAGGTGTAATTGCAAGTACCATGCTGGATGCTTTTTCGACCGCAGATACGATAGCTGAAGACTGGTATGCACATGCAACATTTCTCAATGGCAATGCTGGAGGTTCTGGCCTTGGATGGGATGGTGTAAAAACTGAGGCTGACAAGAAGGGTTGCCGAAGGGTCAGGTGGGAAGACTGGCAGAAGATTGATGCAGCCGAGCGAAGGAGAGGTAACAGTAACGGGAAGGAGCGAGAAAAGTTTACAAATGTGGAAGACATGCTCAAGGTCTTAGATTAAACGATAGATTACTCTCATACTATTAAAATCTCAATAAATTACTTTTATATCATTTATATTCTAATCTATCCAAGCTAAATTCTATAATAAAATCTAACTATAAATATATAGATTCTAGAATTCTAAATATAATTTTCAATAAAATATATTTAAATGATAAATATATATATTATAGAAATCATCGTATTATATAAGGGATATGATGACTCTCACCTGTATGTGGTGTATCCTATGAACCTTCGATTATGCGATCGGAGAGCTAAGTAGAGTTAGCTAAAGCTGGGTGATGGTTGTATATTAATTGGAGGCTGTATTGGAAGCGAAGGTATGTGTAGCTGATCATTAGAGGGTAATTGTGAAGATGTTTGGAACAAAGGATTATTAGCAAAACGGAAATGAAAATCATTTAATAGTGAAAAGGAGATGAGAGTGGGATTGATGTGAAACCATGCCTTTATAAATCTGTGTGGGGAGTAGAGCTAGAGCATATTATGGCAAAGTGTTTATAAAGCAGAACTAGTTCTTGAAACAATAAATAATGAAGTTTCTATAATATAGCTGAGTCTGATTAAAGCCTATATTAGAAGCAGAACCGATATCCTTAACTTGATAAACGAAAATCGATAGAATACCTCTGGGGCATTAGTGTATAGAGTTTTCACAATCCAATAATACATATGATCTGTGGATATACCGGATTGGATATTTACAAATGATAAGAGGAGTAATAGAAAGTATATAAAGGCTAGGATAATATCTACTAGGGTTGGCAGAAGTATATATGAAATAGAAAAAGGAACGTTTTTAGTATCTTATCTTCGAATACATAGGAACGGCATAGTGATAAAGAAGTTTCGATATAGGAAGAATGCTTTTAGTAAGCCATACTTGATAATGCTTGATTAGTATTACAGCAATAAAGGATCTCAGGTAAAAACTAATCCTATAATATACATGTGCAACATACTCTTAGCATTCTACTTTCAATTATAAACTATATATTAGGGAAATAAATTTTATAAGTAAAGCTTTGGTTAATAAATTAAAAATATTATAAAAGGGCTATCTGGCTAGAAATCTGAAATAGCAAGTTTACAAGATATAGTCAGCCTTGTTATATAAGAGAGATCCGGTAAGGTAACACAAAACAACTATTAATCGCAAGACGTAGTATATAATAATAGTGATAGTAATACTATCTATATAACTCGAAAGGATGGATATGTGTATTGGTTTATAATCGGATACTATAGAGCAAAGAACATAATAGAGATATCAGATAGACTTAAGAAGCAAATAGGAATGGAGGCATAAAGAAATAGTTTTGATTCTAATCGAAATTTCCGAAGGCAATTATGCAATAAGTGGTTTAATATAATCAAAAGATTCTATAGAAGCCTAGTACTAGTGGCTTTATCACAAGTGAGCTGGGAAAGCGTCTGTAGGTGTAGCGAACCTACTTTGTATTATAATATATTCTAGAAAGTAGTTATAATATAATTCATTTCTGCCTTCCTATCCCAAAGGCAACTCAGAGTCAGACTTAACAAAGCAATAACTGGCTACAGCTCAGTGGAATGCGGCATTCCACAAGGCTCACCCCTCTCGCTAGTTCTATACATGCTCTATCTTGCAGAGCTATTTCAACAAGACCCTGAATTTCGTTTTGGATATGCAGACGATATCTGTTTATACCGATTATCAGCAAATGTTCAACAAAACGTTAAAGTGTTAGTAAGAGATATGAAAGATATATTTTGCTGGGGAGCTAAGAATAAAATAATCTTTGTATTCAAAAAGATAAAAATGATTCATATAATATGGCATAAACACTTCGTTAATTCAATATATGAAATAAACCAAGATTGTATTATAACTCTGATTGCATTAGGATCAGCTTTGCGATGGCTAGATATATGGTTTGATTACAAGTTTATATTCAAACAATATATTGAAATACAAGTAGTTAAAAGCTACAAACTGGCATACTATATTCGAGGGCTAGTCCAGACCGCAAACGGACCCCTAGTAGCATCCCTACAGAAAATAATGATCACTTGCTTATACCCAGCTCTATTCTATGGAGTAGAGGTATGGTATATAGAACAAATAAAAATCACTAAACAGTATTGAAACAGAATATTAGTGATAGTAAGTATTCGACTAGAAGGAGCAATTCTAGTTATCAATAAGGTTTTACAATTAGTGATCAAAGGAGTTCTTTTAGTTTGGCGAATGATTCCAAATTCAATATTAATAAAGAATAGCACTCTTTTATTAGCAGAAATAATATTAGAATAAATAAAATGGAGAGTATCTTTTTGTATTCAAATTATTAATTCAAAATATTCTCTTTATTATTGAGGGATAAGAGTTATATACTCTTTTGGTAGTAGAGAAGACTAATTAAAGCTAGCTAGAATAAAGATTCAGATAATTAGTCAGTATCTCTCTTGAATTAAGAAGATGATATTAATAGGGCCTTATTATATATTAGGATATCGAACAGATTCCACAAAAAGCCTTACAAAAGAGGTAGTGATTAAGTAATTCCAAGAATGGTGGAATAAGCGTATACATGATCAGATTATTATCTTCTTAGATGGATTAGAATAGATAGATAAGGATAATAGGCGAATAAGCTATGAATATATTGTATATAGAGGATAAATAATAATATACAAAGGAAAGAATGGATTACATTACAACTCTCATATATTCGATACAAAAGCGATTGGGGTATATCAAGGCCTTCAAATAATAATCAGAAATATCACGAGTATAAAACAAATGGAAATCTGTATATATATTGATAGTATATTAGTAATATAGGGAATAAGAGGTATAGCCTCTATTTTATCTTAGTAGACATTCCTCAAATACTACAAACTGATATAGATACATCGAATCCAAATCAAATAGTCTCCAGGCTATACAGGAATCGAAGGGAATGAATGAGCGGACATACTTGTTAACAAAGGAATAAAAAGATTAGCCTCAGGATATACAAACCAACCTATAATGAATAGTATCTGTTCTATAGCAAAAACTACAATAAGATCGATAGTATAAATATAATAGATTAAACAGAAACCAATGCTTTCCAAACAGTATTAGAAATAGAATTCAGGAAATACAGACAAATGCTCTAAGGAACTTGAACTCCTATAAGCGACTCTTTATTGCATACTAGCGATCCGCTTAGTATATAGCGATTTCGAAAACTATTACTAATAATTTAAACACAAGGAGGTTATAGTTTACTGCTTATACAATATATACAAATCCCTTGAGCATATTATGTATTATTACAAAGTCCTTGTAATCTATAAAACCTAACCCTCAAATATCAAGCCCAAATACTTATCTTACAATTAAGCAGCTCAAAAACGGCTATTGAAATAATTAATGTATATATTAATCAAATTTACAGAATTCATTGTTATAACTGATTTCTACAAAAACATATGCTCCAGGATACTATCAGAAGAATAAAAAGAGAGAAGGAAACAGATCGATCGATTCAGGCGATTACAAATAAAGAATGGAAGGCGATTAATATAGCAAAGCTATATAAAAGGAAATGGATGTACACAATATATTATACTGTAATAGAATATATATAAAAGCTATTCTTATAGGATAAAGTAGCTTTCAATCAAAACATTATATAAGAAATCGGAAAGCGCATATGGAGACACTCAGAGGATCGGAGATAAAAGCGCAAGTACGCTAGCCATTGCTTGGGAAGCTAATGAGGGTATTGAGGCCCTATCCCTAGGAAAGGGGGATCATATAAACTAGCCCCGCATTTAGCCCAACCGTAATGCCCCTCGGGAGGCTCGCCCTTACGGCCCGGTTGAAAATTACCAATAATAATAATAATCGTATTATATAATACTACGAAATTAATTCTAATAATTTATTAGAGTACTTACTTTTCTAATTATAAAATACAATCTTTTTATTATAGATCATAGAATAATATAATAGTAGAATAGTAGAATAGTGAAATAATTTCTTATTTAGTTTCTCATTATAATTTCTAATTTAGATTCTAATATTAAGAAACGCCTGATGCATCCACCAGATCTGTGCCTCTTGCTTACAAATTGCTTACAAATGCACCTTCAAATGCACCTTCAAATGCACCCCGCCAAATACACCTCCAAATGCACCTCCTTTTAATCAACTGATGTTTGCTTCTACGAATCCATTACACAAAAAAATTCCGTAAAATCCGACTCCCAAGTTCTTTCCGCTACGCTCCGAAACATTTTGTTCCTCCCAATTTCATAACAATGCTTTCACGAGCCGGCCACTCTATTTTACGCCAAGCGCGGACTCAATTACGAACACAAGCTGGCCCTACACCAGTAGCTTCCCTCTCGGCACTCGCAAGACTATTATCATCACTTGCCGTCCTGGAACAACGGGAGGGTAAACTTAATCATGGATCACTTGGGGCAGTCACCGCAGCACAAAAGCTAGGAGGGTCAATAACGGCGTTTATTGCGGGAAGAAACATAAAATCTGTAGCCGAAGAAGCAGCTAAAGTTGCAGGAATTGAAAAGGTTATTGCTGTAGACAATTCTGCATATGACAAGGTAAGGAGACCTATTTGCTCACGATCGGTTCCACCGATCAGCAGATTTTGATAATTTTGTTATAGGGTCTGCCAGAAAACTATGCTCCTTTATTAGTAGAAAATATTAAGAAGGGTGGCTTTACACACATCATTGCCGGACACACAGCTTTTGGAAAGAATCTTATGCCCCGCGTTGCCGCACTACTCGATGTTCAACAAGTATCGGATATTACAGGAATTGAAAATGAGAACACCTTCGTTAGACCAATATATGCTGGTAATGCAATTGCTACTGTCGAATCTTCAGACGAAATCAAAATCATCACCATCAGAGGAACAGCTTTTGCAGCAGCGGCGGCGGAGGGTGGCTCAGCATCAATTGAGGAGGGGGTAGACCCTAAGATTGAATCGCAGACCGAATGGGTATCAGAAGATCTGGCAAAATCAGATAGACCAGATCTCGCCACTG